TGAGAAGATCGAGGCAACTTGTCCTAAGAACCTTCAAGAGCAAAATAGCTTTCCCTTAGCTGAAGCCCTTTTCTAAGGAAAGGAACCAGTGAAGGTTGCAATTGATTGTCTCAGGTGAAGAGGAAGGAAAATGTGAAGTCTTAGTTACGTGAGGCACAGCACCCAATAATGACACTTTATTCTGACTATCAAATAAATCTAGTGATTTCAGTGTTGGGCCTTTCATAGGAATGATAAATTCAGTGATTTCAGCAGCTTGTCCCTCTGCCCATGGATTTGAGTGGGTGGGTGGGCAGAGTGAAGAGAACCTGGGCTTTGCCCAAACCTTTCATTAACCACCCAGAGAGCCACAGCTATGGGGCAGTAAACAAAGGAAACAACCAAACATAAGGGTTCTTAAATACTTAAGAGAAAGGCTGTGGCTCTACAACTTTGATGAGCTAAACAATACTAACAAACTTTGGAAATGGTGATACATGTAAAAGGATAAAGACTAAGCTGAGCCTTCTTTCTGCATAGGCAAATAAGGTTCTTAGGGATGATGACTGTACTTGCTGAATACAAGAATCTTATTGGGTCTTTTTCTACTATCTCCATTGTTTAATAAAGGATGGCCTTACAGACAGTTGCCAAGACTGTAGTGCAACAACAGAAACACATTTCAGGGTTTAGGAAGTCTTTTAGAAAATTAGCTGCTTGATCTAGTCTTATATGCTGCCTCCCATTTTCTTTCACCTTCGATGAAGCTGAGAATTGGATATCTGACTGATGGAGTCCGTGCTGTTCACACAAAAGATAGCTGTTTTGTAACACAGTGGCTCTCCCGAATTTCAGGCAAGATTTTTTTGAGCTCTGCTTGAAGATGCTATGGGTTGAACCTGGAACCTTACAAAGCAGGTGCCCCACCACTGAGAGACAGATCCTGCTCATGCCAGAGATTACATATGTTCAATAGTTTGAACAATTTCAACTGACCGAAATACATATTCTGTATGCTTTGTTTACCAATTAAAGTGTTCTTTTCTTTTTATGCTGAGATGAAGTAGCTTGTTCAAAGAAGATTCTGAATGCCGGAGCATCGTCCCAGAATCCCACTTTATATTCAGTAAGTGCTAGCACCTAGCAATTCATAGGATTTTTTCACCAGTTATCTAAAGTTCAAAGACGGGGCACTTAGATACCCACTTAAAATTGTGTGCATCTTTATTGTGACCCTAAGCAGTGTCAGCATACAGAAAGGGATAAGAACATTTTTGTGAACCGGAGGGTACATCACAGTGCTGATCTGAATGGGTTTGCTTGTTTGCTTGCTTGTTCGCTTTGTGAAATTTCCAGGAAAGTATATCATTGTCATCTACAGCAATGTCTTTCAAGGAAGCCTTCAACATATTTCATTGCTAGACTCAGTGTGACTCCAGAATCTACAGAGTTGCAGATTTCTATTTTGTTCTCTCTAGATAGGAATACATTGCTTCAGATTATATATTCTGGGTTCTCCTTGAACCATCTGTTAGAAAAATGAGATAAATAGCAAGGTTGGGAAGATCAATAAACCATGAATTGTGCTATATCCAGCATCCTAATATTCCTAGGGAGAACAAGGTTAAGTGGGTATGTAGGTACATGACCCCTATGCAGAAATTATATGATAAACAAAGTTATACACATGCCCATGTCTACAGCTGCTCATTTTCCAGCAGCCACAATCAAATGGCAGCTAGGAACAGATCACTTTACACTAGTTTCCCCTAGAATACCTCTTTAAACGTATGATCACTTGGCAGCCACATATGCAAACACGCATGGATGAATTTAGCCATGTGAACCAGCCTTTAAAGTCAAGACCTAGTAACTGTTCTGGATATATCAGGGATAACTTCCCAGACCAGTGAAAACCACACCAGATCCAAATGGAACAGAAAATCCTATACCTTGCAGCCAAATTCACATGATCATTCAGAAAACTGACTATGGAATGTTAATATGCACAGGTAGTACATTTCATGTAATCTGTCCTGTTTCAGTTGCAGACTTCAATGAGGTATGCTAACTCCACAAATATAGTGCTGGATTCAGCCTCTGAAACAGCATCTGAATCGGTCCCAAGAATCAAAAATACCCTTTAGTTGCAATGATACTTTTTTCTGCTTTCTGCAGAACAGAATGATTCTCTTGAATAGTTCTTCATATAGTTTGATTCTGTGAATACCTCTGAAACTGTGAGTATAGCAGCATTTCTATATTCAGACAAACACAGCTACCACTAGTCTATCATGCGTATTTATGCTAACATAACATTTATGCCATACATAAATACATTATAGCATTTCTTTCTGTGCTGATCAATTTGGAGTGTGAATTTTGGGTCTTAGGAATAATAAACTTCTCTATTTAATTCAAACTATTAGGGATATGAATTTATTGATGCAGATATTTTAACACAAATTTTACACTGCCCCTCTACCCAAGCTTCCAACAAAAATTTAACTAACTTTTAGAATTCTCAAATTATTCCCATAAATAATGAAAACCAGCAAATTTTAGTATTTTACATTGATTTCTATTGGTAATCAGATGTTCCAATATTGGTCAATTTGCATATACAAATTAGAAATGGCTAGGACCTGTACAATTCAAAATACCAACTGCATGTTCTGAAGTTTGAACTGTTTGTATCCAAGTCATTGATTAGAGGGCACTGAAAATAATGAAAAATCTGATTTAATTCACAACCAAATAAATGAACTTTCAGACTTTCTTCACTTCATTTCATTGGCAGAAAGCCCTTGGATTTGTGTGTGTATGTTTTGTATTTTGCAGAATAATTTTACAGTCTGAGAGCAAAGAACATTTCCATTATATTTGTACTTTTTTCCAGCATGAACTTCTCTTTGCATATAAGAAATACCAGCACATTAATCAGAATACCAGCCAGATTTTGAATACTGCAAAATTGTCTTTAGTTCAGTTTGCAGTAACCTTTAAGGTCTCTCAGTTAGTTTTCATATCTGCAAGCCAAATTCTTAACTTTCACATAGCTTTCTTCTCTGGAACATATGGTCAGAAATAATAAAGTTAACAATAATCAGGAAGCAAGTATGTGCCTAATGGCTTAAGAACCATTAACAAACAACACTTTCAACACTCAACACACTCTGAACTCTTTGCCAGCTGCTAGAAAGACAACTTGCCAACCATTCAACTATCAGAACAAGGTATATTTTGAAAAAAACTGTGAAATGTAGGTGTTATACTTATAAAACTTAATTTTCATTATTTCCCATTAGCTTTTTGCACAGAAACTAAAAATCTCAAATCTATTTGGAATAACGTTTCCAAACTTCTGGACTTCTGTAAGGATAAGGAAGCTTCAAGTAGGTGTAGCTCATGTGTGTTTACAAGCTAACAAATGGACAAAGAAACCGAAACAAGTGTGGCTACAACAAGCAAGTGGTGAGAAGGGGGATTGTTTACGGAGCAGAGCTGAAACTTTTTCAGGCTGAGGGCCAAAATCCATTTGGGAAAATTCTTGGGGACAGCATTTGAGTGAATTGCCAAATGATTAGTGATTAGGAGAAAGTTGGTTGGCCAAGAAAACGAAGTATAGCTATCTGGGCAAACCTTATTTAAAATGTTCAGTGTGAATCCCACATTTCCATTTGTGGTCACTGTCTCTGAATGTTCTGCCTTCCATTTTGTTGAAAACGTTGAGCAATATTTCACCTCTGCCACAAATACTTTGGACTTTTGTTTCCTCCTCCTCCTTCTCCTCCATTCCATTTCTGCCTGACTGCCAAGTCTCTCCTGGATGACCTACGACTATTATTACTAGCAGACATATTGTGACATACGCACTTCATAGTATTTCTTTTTGTGCAACTTCCTTTCTCTTCATATAACTTCATGGGAGAATCAGGTCTTGAAGGTGAGCTATTTTACTAATGTGGCCGAGGTCACTTAATCAAAGAAAGAAATGCGAAGACTCTGGAATGCATTTTTAAAAACACCCCCTCCATAGCAATCACTATTTCAGATAATTTTGAAAATTAAAAAAGAATGCTTGAATCAAGTCACTGAATGGAGTTAAGACTTGACCTCATGCTTTCATAACATACACGCACTTGCCACAACATTTAATTGCATAAAATATAGCATCTAATAAATTGTATCCATTCTTGTTATTGCTGTAGCAATTAAGTCTTGTTCTGTGCAGCAATTTAATTTAAAAGATGAAACTGAAGCCATTTTCAGAAGAGTACTTCTTTACATTCTGGTTGGTGTGTGCTGTTCCATTCTGTCAGTACTATCTGACTATGTCAGCCAGTTTCCAGCAGGAAATTTATAACACGAGCCTATGTGAAATGCCACACCAAAATCATACAATCTAGACACTCTACCATATAAAGAAACAATCAATGGGTATTGTCGTCATGCCCCATGTAGAACATGCTTTCTTTTCAACATCAAAACTAATAAAAGCCTGAGTGAATGTCAGTCCTAGGTGGTGTGTTGTGTTACAAATATTAAGACAGCAACTTCGGACAGAATGCATTGCTTGATTTATTGTTTATTGTTCTTGCATTTGTGTTCTTATGTATTACCCTTCCAAAAGTGACTTTAGATAATAGTAGCATGTCAACAACGACAGAAATAGAAAATCACATCGCTTGTATATGTTCAGTATCATAATTAATGCATAATTAATATGTCTCAGCAGGGCCAGCATAAGGACTATTTATTTATTTACTGACTTTCTATCCCATCCCCCCACCTCCCAGCCAGAATGGCTCTGACTTATCACTGTAAGGTACATGCAGGACTCCCTAGTCTAGCTCCGACCTGTAACAGAGTCACAATATATACAGGTAGCATAAATTGTGCTAACAAACCAAAGTAGCTACCAACTCTGCTCTTGTCATGAGGAAAGCAAGTGCAGAAATGCAGAAGCTAATTAATTAGGGCAAGTTTAGTAGGATAAAGTCCTGTTTCTCCTGCAAGAGATGGGAAAGACACCAGTAGATGCTGAGATTGTGACAGAAATGAGGGCCCAATGGTAGCGTGAGATCTTGCAAAACCCAATGGCCTCCTCAGACACAAAATAACAACACTCAGCGTAGTCTTAGCTATAGCAGCTATACACATACTATACCAGCTGTAGGCACAGGTAACACAGGGTAGCACAGCAGTCTTCAGCACAGAGTATCCTCCAAGAGGTACCTTGAGCCTCTTCAGGCCCTTAGCTTTATCTCCTGCAACCTGGATCAGGTGGTCCATGGGGTGGTTTCCCTGATTGATTTCTGGTGAAAACCACTTTCCCTTATTGCCACAGTCTCCTGTCCTTGGATGCAAATTCTCTTGTCTTTGGGTATAATTTATAGTATATATCCATTATGCATACCAAGATTCTAGCCAACCTTCCCATGACCTTGGGTGCCAGTGTCCCACTGAGAGAACACCTGGCAATTGTAACAATTCCCCATCTTCCAGTTAACTCTTCCATATCAGGAAGACTCTTAAGCCAGTTCACATCATGCTGAGTATTAGTACTTCATGTAGCAGTTACTGAGAGCTATAATTTGATGATCTGCCTGATCAGTGGCAAAACAGACAAGACCAAAAATGAATTCTTCCGTTGAGTTTCTTCTTTCTCTTCTATGAATCCTATTTCAGCAGTGAAATGGGCTGCTAGAGGATAGAATCAGATATGGCTACAATTAAGAGTACCAAATGTTGCTGGATTGGGACCATGGACTGCAATCTTGATTAAATGCCATTGACTTAATGGCATTTAAGTGGACTGAGGTGGCATAACTATACTATATGGAACATTGGAGGACATGGATATTTCAGTCTCTTTTCATTTTCTTCAAAATAATAGTTTTTTAGGGCAGAGTATTGTGGAGGAAGGTGCCATAGCTTTGTAAAGGTAAAGGTTTACCCATGACATTAAAGTCCAGTCATGTCTGACTCTTGGGGCAGTGCTCATCTCAGTTTCCTAGCCGAGGGAGTCAGCATTTGTCTGCAGACAATCTCCATGGTCATATGGCCAGCATGACTAAACACCAAGGTGCACAGAATGCTGTTACCTTCCCACCGAAGTAGTTCCTTTTTACCTACTTGTATTTGAACTGCAAGGTTGGCAGGAGGTGGGACGAAGCAATGGGAGCTCACCCTTTTGTGCAGATTCGATCTGTTGACCTTTCGAACAACCAGCCCAGCAGCTCAGCTGTTTAACCCACTGCGCTCTCTGCTTGTTAGTTTGTCATAAAGTCTATGATGTTACATATTTTACTGAAGAAAAATGTCAGTTCTGAAAAATGTCAATACTGAAAGCTTTTAAAATTTAAATAAATACCCTTACACACAAATGACATAACTCAATGCTAGAGACCATGTTTTGCATGCAGAAGCCCCCAGATTCAAATGCTGGTCTGTATAGGCATGGCTTGGAAAGAACCCTGACTGGAAATCTGGAAAGCTACTGCCAGATCATATCAGCAGTGCTGGACTTGGTGGATCAATGGTCTAACCAATATATGGCAGCTTCCTCTGCTTCTCACACATACACATATATGCAAACACAAACACTTTCTTCCAACCAATTTCACATTGTCATTGGTACAGCTCCTTCAAACACTTCTTCACTTCCAGAAGCTCTGGTTCTGTTTTTTCTCTAGATCAGTGGATATCTTTCCTTCTATCTTTCTTGGCTTTTTCCTCTTTTTGTTTCTATCTATTTCTCTGCCTAGGCTTTCAAATCTTTAAAAATTGACATTTTTAATTTCCCCCTTTCCCTTAGTTCCACAAACTAAGTTTCTGTTTCCCAGATTTAAAACTCTCTCTCTTCCTCTAATCTTCATGTTGAATCTTATTAGCCTTCAGAACAAAAAAGTTTTGGTTTTCTGCCCCTACCACTACTTATTTTATTTTATTATTTTATAGGTGTGGAAGACAGAAAGGTATAGGTAAAAGAATGAATTTACAAAAATCTCCATTTCTTCCTTCATTTACAGAGGATCGAAGAGTTTTCTCAAAATGAAAGGACAACATTGTCCATAACCCATTGTATTTACTGCATTGATTAGTTGATCCATATTTAGTAACAGAACTAAGAGCTCACTTGGTTATTAGTGCTATATTTTCTACAACAAGTAATGCATCTCTTGTGATAAAAAATAATTACATTCCCTGGCTTTTTACTCAGAATAGATCCCTTCCAATTAAACAGATAGTGAACTAACAAAGTAATGTAATGGTAGATTGCTTATGTAATTTGATTTCATTTTAAAATAAATTATTTTCTAGATTTCTAATGGCAATTAATACCTGTATGTAAGTATACTGTTAGATAAATAAATTATGGGTTGTGCACAAGCATATCAAGGTTGATTTTTTTCCTCTTAATTTCCCTCAGTTGAGACAATAGTCCAGTTTGCATGCCAAAATGAGCTGGGGTCCCATTAGAACATTTCAAATAAGCCAGGGTTGCTCAATGCAGCTTGTCTTCCAGGAAAATCTTGGCCTATAATTTGGTTAGTTCTGCTATAAACTTTTGTCCATGGATTTGATTATATCTATATCAACCAGAAACTCCAAGACTTATCACTCTGACTTGTCACAGAGCAGATTCATACTACTTCATAATACCAAAAATGGCTCCTATACACATAATACTATATAAACCATAGACAGAAGGTCTGTAGTTCGGATACTTCAAACTGTAGTGGAAATGATCAGATTGTGTTTATGAGCATGCTATCTCTGACATATAAACTAGGCAGCTAATTGTTTGTAGCCATCTTTAGTAACAGAGTAAACCAAATACTATTCCCTGGAAATAAGATCCTACCCCCCCCCCCAAACCAAACACAGGATAGGTATGTGAGAAACTTGCAATATTATCCTTTTGAACATTTTTGAACCCTAAAACTAGCATATAACTAACAGGAAGACCTCAAATGTGTTTTTATTTTTTAATATTACAGTTTTGTGCCTAGGTTTATTTATTTATTTAAAAAATTTCTAAGCCATCCATCAGCCAAAAAAGCCTCTGTTCACAGATGACCTCCTAATTCTGTTTGGCTGAATATATTACAGAGGGATTGGGGCATTCATTAGTTGATTGTCATTCTTTTGGTGTGCTATTACAGAGCTGGTAAATATTATTTCAGGGTGCATTCAACAACTAAAATAATGGTAATTGGAAAGTAAGCTTTATAAAGTTGCGAGGGTACCTATATCCTACCTTGAAGCGAAGGAAGCTGTCTTCATCAATTCTGATATGAATTGATCTGATATGCATTTCCTGGCATAATGCACAGATCATAATGTAGCTATCCATCAGATCTCACATTTCTCTGAATCCTGCCACAAAGTCCTTGGCTCAAAAAGACCTTTATCAGAATTTTAAAGATATTGTATATTGAAGAAAGTACATTTTAATGTAAAATTTAAATATTATTTAATGCAAGTTTTCTAGCCAATTTTCTTTAAAAACTTCCAAAGGAATATGGAAATGGATGGAACAGACTTCTGGCTAAATACATATGATATTGGCACTGACTACAAAGAGGGTGATCTATCCATCCCTAATACATCCTTACAATACATAGAGATTTTACTAAATATGTTATTGCTTTCAGAAGTTCTTAATTAATGGATTGATTTACGCTGCTTATGTAATGCTTGGTATTGTAAAATCTCTAAGCAGTTTACACAAGAATATTTAAATACAATATACAATATAAAGAACATACATTAAATATGAAATAAAAAGTGTAAAACTTTTAAAAAGTAAATCAAGAAGGTCTGCTTACCTGATAGTCATGACCAGTATTGCTTCTTTAGAAGAACTTAGTGGTATATAACAGACAACATATTAATTGTGCACACTAAGTGTGAATAAATTACAAGTTGTTTGATCCTGACTTCAGTGTTTAAAAAGAAACAAAATATTAGTTCTGTCTTACAGCCTACAGATGTAACCCCAGATGGAAATTGTCAAGAACTTCATTCTTGGTCAAGTATTCTGACTATAAAACCGTGTTGAAAAGTTCACCTTGTTTCTCTGCTAATTGGGAGTTCTATACATCCAGCTAAGCCAGAATGTGTTGTAGCTATACAGCCACCTGTGGATTTGTCATCTTGAGTCACAACCGGCAGCTCTAGCAACTGCAGCACTCAAGGCCAGAATAAGATGTCATTAATTGGGATCTTGACTGTGTTCCTCTGAAAAAGTACTCCCAGCTCTGTCTTGGGATTTCGGAGCATACCTGGTACAGGTTTCACTAGATGGCCTCTGAGTTGTCAGGGATGGAAGATAAAAAGGGAAGACCAAGAGCTTCCCACTTGTTTCCACCTACTTGTGCCAACTTGCTTCACACTTTTCTTGGATCTGAGACTGGACCCAGTCTTGCCAGATTACCCTTACTTCAGCAGCGTATATTGTAGCCTCATTATTGTTTTATGTTTGCTCATTGGTTATTGTGCCAAAGATTCTCTGTGCCTCTCCCTACAACTTATCTTCCCTTTGCGCTTACTTATACTCATCTTCTCTACATATAGACATGTGCGCCTCCTTTCATGGAACTCTCTACTAATTTCAAGGCCTTTAGGCTGACTGCTTCACTACTATTTAACATTTCAGGCACGGGACTTAAGGTGCCAGCTTGAATAGGGATGTCACTGAAACTCACAATGCACTCAGATGAGTTTGATTTTCCAAAATCTGACTACGCCAGTAAAAGGACAAGGGAAAGAAAGACCTGATGTGCTGTGAAATATAGACTGAATGGATTTTATAACCCTTGTACACCCCCAGGCTTGAATTCTTATTTTAGTGGTGCCAAGTGTATCCTGGCAGGTGTGGAAATTTCCTGGCTTGGGCTCATGTGGACATAAAATGCCAGTAGCAGTCTACCGAATGTTTGTTGTCCCTGACTGAAATTCAGGGACTTTGGGCAATCCGCTTTCTCCTTTTCCTGAATGCTTGGACTTTTGTCTTGGATTAAATGACCCTTTTTACCTGCCACCTGCTTTGTTCTTTTGATTTGATGGCTAATGAGAACAAAAGTCAGAGACATAGAATTCCTTCCTCAAATTCCTTCTAATTAAACAATTCTGTTTTGCATTATTTATTTTTATGACAAAACATTGCACTGACCAGTTTGCTTCACATTCTGTTCCACAAGCAGGTTTGCAGTCAGCTTTGCACTGCAGTCGGTTATCACTGATGAAAATTACTACTTTCCCAGCATCTTCAGCAAGCAGGGATGGAAGAAATGGAAGGGAAAAGCTTCTTTATACATTCATTACACTTGCATGTAGCTGTTCTTGATTTGTGAATGATTTTACAAATGTATTTCAGGCTGCAGGTTCTTACTGAGGCAATCTGTTAATGTGACTTGAAATAGGCAGCCTATGTCAGTCAGCACTTTTGGCGGCTCTGCACAAGAGTCTGTTGGCCTTCCCTATTTATTTTCCACCACATTTTCCCCTTTATTTACAAATCTCTTTTCCTTTAGTGCAAAGACATATATTTCCTCAAGGACTACATAGACTCTAGTGATTTGTCATTGGCTAAAGGAATACATATATTACTTGGCCACCATGTGTACTGTGCTAATTTCCTCCTTCCAGTTCCTTCCTATGATGACTAGGAAGGAGACCAAATGTTCACAGTAAATCGCACTGAATGTCTTGCCAATTGCTTTTATCTTTCTTCACGCTTACTATGTTTAATGATTTTTTTCTACTTGTACTTCTTCCAGAAAAGCTAAAATAAGATAGCTTAAAAAGTATGAAATGACATCTGTTAAGCTAATTTCATGCATAAAATAATTAATTTTTAGGAAAAAAAGCATGAAAACAGTTGAAATTGTGGAGAATGATTTCTGCATCACAAAGAGAAGAACTTCCACAAAGAGAATAGCTTCCACCTCTCTCTCTCTCTTTTGCTCATTGCTCACTGCAAACTTCATTTCAGCTCATAAGCCACTATTTCCCATGTGCATGAGTTTTGTTTGGGGGGGTCCTCCTCTCAAGTAGATTATTCACTCATCTAAGACCCTACTTAGAATCTGAAACAGATACAGCCTGGATGAAATGCAATGCTTCAGTGAGAATATAGCCATAATCTCAGAGACACCCTGAACTTCAACAGTTGGAAACCAACAGCTGGTATTTCCCAGTCTTCCTTTAAGTATAGGGAACCTAATCCTGATCTAATTAAGGTCAGAGAACCTAACCAGACTCCTATTTATTTATTACATTTCCATGTCACCCTAACAGTTAAGGTGCTCTGGGAGGTTTATAAAATTGATCTTAAAATCTTAAAACATTGTAATGTTGAATACAAACAACTTGAAAAAAACAGAATATAACCAAGCTAAAACACAAGAGCACAGCAAACCAGGAGTACAAAGATAAGAAGAATAATGCAGTAATTTTCACTAGAAAGACTGGATGACCTGAAAAGGCCTCTACCTAGTCATGAAAAGAAAAAAACAAAACAAAACAAAACAAAACAAAAACAGAGTGCTAGGAAGGCCTCTTTGCGGAATTCATTCCACAACCGGATGCTGACATAGAAAATTCTCTAGGTCTCCTCTCTTGGTGCCCTGCCTCACCTCATTTGGTGGGGACATCAACATTTCTGTGAATTGATCCTATTTGACAGTGCTAATCTTATAAGGACTGCAGTGTGATAAATGTACCTGCACTGCTAGCATTTTAATCAGGATTAGGTTCTAGATGCACAAGGCAAGTGAAGAAAGGTGCTCTGTCTCATGATTTTCCCTTCTTCCATGTCTCAGAAAGCAGCTGTGAGGATAAGTGAACTGAATGAGGTCAAGAGGGTATTAGCTGATGACCTCTTGCAGGGGGATTGAACCTTGGCAGGTACCCAGTGATACAAGCATACCAGCAGAATAGCAATTACATAGAAGAACCTTGTGTAGCATCTTCCTTCTTCTCTGTGCTTATTTTAAAAGTGGTGTGTTCACACAATGGTTGTTGTTTTCCTGTCTAGTATTGTGGAAGCTAAGCATCCCTGGCCATCAGAAAAACTCCCATTATCTCTGGCCACCAAGGTAAACTTTCCCAAATTAGGGGACCAGGATGCTTGGATGGGTGGAAACAAACTAAGTAACTCAAGGGAATTTGGTATTTTTATTATGTTGATTGAAGAGTTTTAATTAATTTGGGGGATGATCCACCTGCTGCTTATCCATCTAAACTTAGGCCTTTCATTATTCCTCACTTCAAATTTAATGAATTTGAAAGAAGGGCACCATACTAAGAAGTGTATTTCTCTATCTGCACTGCTTTTTTGGTATACCTGTGTACCAGAAGAGGACATCAGTGCGTAAAACTGTTTGCACTGTTGCCAGATCTCTTCACTGTGGCCTAGCCCTGGGCTACCAACTCACATCTGACTCTCTGGTGTGTGGTTTCAGGGTTTTATCTTGGTTCAGGGGCCTAAAGGTCTATTTGCAAGTTATATATGGCTTATGCCTAATTTTTATGAACTTGCAAGTCAGTAACCAATGAAACTAGAAGGGCATATCCCTAACATGGTGCCAAATGTCTACAGAGCAGATGATCTATTATATTAACCTCAATATGAGTTGATGAGCACTGCATTAACAGTGACTGACAACTGAGCATAATGAGCTTGACGAACTCTTTGTCTCCCACATTACTAAGCAAACAATTGAAAAATGCTTAAAATATTGTCAAGCTAATAATAATAATAACAATACCTTGCAGGTGTTGTTCATAAAAGGCACTGAGAATGACAGTAATTCAAGCAGCCTAATTCAAAGCAAAGCATTCTCCCACTCGTTTCAAGTGAAAGGAGGGGGTGGGGGAATCTGACAATGACTCAGAATGGAGTGGGAGATTGCTTAAATGAAGCTGAAAGCTAAAAAGGGGAAACTTTGGGAAGAAGGATTAGTTGATTGCTTGAACATCTTTTCAGTGAAATATACTGCTGATAATTTTTGTAACCTGACTACTGGAGGACATGCCAGATATGCTTGACTTTTAATAATGCTACCTCAAGACAAATACCTTATTTGAGTAGTGCAGTATCATCAGTCTGCACTGAGACCAACTGACAGTCAGTTGGTCTTCTCTTCTGAGTTGTTTGTACTTCAGCAATTGGCACCCTCCTTTCTTTAAACATTTCTTCTGTGTTCAGCTCTGGTGACACACCTGCTTCTGCTTCAGATGGAAGTTGGAAAAGATACGCTGCTTGAATATGTATTCGCCTGAATCCATGCTGAGATCTTTTGGAGGCACCCAGATGTGCAATTTTAGACAGTTCTTTGTTTTAAAACTTACTCAGTTTATGCATATGTGAATAAAAAGATTCTCCTTACTACCTTAACAGAATAATTCTATGGCTGGCCAGATAGTATAGGTTCATTTAGATCCCACTTCCAAGGTCAGAGAGTCACTCCAACCTTGTAATTGGGGATCTGCATT